CTTAAGATAGCAAACACTTAGAGTTAGATTGTTACTTGTCGGAGTTATCGTACGTTATCTAGCAATCATGTGTCGAGAATAACAAAGCATATAGGTTGGACGGTGCTTATTTAGTCTTAACTAATATACAAGGAAGTGTGCAACAGCTGGATAGGAGTATTAATAACAAATCTCTAGTGTTTACTGACTCAATACTCTTCTCACGACAGGCGCCGTCAACTATGATGGCGAATCTGGCCGAAGCAGACGAGGAAGAAGTTCGTTTGGAGGAAGAACAGGAAGCTAAGCTGGCAGAGTTGGAAGCTGAGATGGAGAACGAAAAAGAAGCTCGAAAGTTGGCTGGAGCCACAGAAGAGGAGATACAGAGAGCAATGGAGTTATTACAGAAACAGCATGACGCTAAGAGAAAGGTAAACTTCTTGTTTTAAAAGATTTATCATTTATCCAGACTGAATTGGTTTTTAAAGAGGCCACGCTACTTTTTCTGCTTCTTGGAATGCATGGCTAAAAATTTCAAATTTCGGCAATGATGATTTATGTTAATCGTTTCACGTGAATTTATTCACGTCATCAAAGCCACCAGCCCCTAAGAGTTGGTTTTTTCCAATGTCTTTTTCGACCTAAACACATTCCTTCCTCTATCAACAAAATTTAGCTCCAGTTCTTATTAAAAACTGAAAGGCGTCTTGGCATCGTGTCGTTAAAGGAAAACTGATCAGAAAATAGAGAATTACCACTAAAAAGCCAATGAGGGCGCAAACAGACTTGACAAGGTCACGATTGGGTTAAGCCTTTAATTGGCTGAGAGGGAGGTGCAGGTTTTCTCGACCAATCCCAGAGAGAATTTGATAAACAAAACCATTGCCATCCTTGGTAACGTTTAACGTTCATTTGCAGAATCGTTTTGATATTTTCTCTGTGTTCCTCAGGCTATGGCGGCTGATGTAGAGAGACAGCGTAATATGGTGCGGCAAAGGCTGGAGGCCAAACGGAGGAAACGAGAAGAACAACAGTACGAAGAAGACATGGCGGCTTCTATTGTGACAATGGCCGAGAAACAGTTCGCTCTTATCCGAGAGAAGACAATGTTGAGAAGAGAAGGACAGAAAGACACGGTGCGTCATTGCGCATTTTAGAAAATGTAGCCTAGGTAGTTATTTTCACTCCATCTTAATCTTCTCCGTCATTTGCCGTCCTTGTTCCTGCCTTGTTAAGTATTGCTACTTCTGAATGAATGAATGAATGTGTATTTATATTCCGCACATATCACATACTGTCTCAAGGCGGTTTACAATTCTAATTGAGTGAGATCGAACGTCAGCTTGTAAAGGCGCCTCTGGCTGCCGCTATCAGTCCATATTTGATCTCACTCACCCACCCAGCTCATGCATGAAATGTACAATGAAACAACAGATAGACCACCACACCGGGAACTACGCCCCCTGCTCTTTTCGACAAGTGTGTGGGTTTTTTAAGGTCCGCTGCTGACCATGTAACACTGAAGATGCCGGAGACGGGGCCTACGGTTTATAATGTCTAACCATTTGCTGGTACAATTACAAAGGCAGCACATTCTCCTCAGTTATTTTAAGACCCTGAGTGTTGGTCCGGTCTGGGGCTCGAACCCTCGACCTCCCGCACAGCAGACTGGCGCTCTACCAACTGAGCTAACCAGGCGGCGGTTATATGTATTTTATGTATTTCTATCCGATAGAACTCATATTTTGTAGTCATTTGCAATCCGCTCCAATCTTCTTCATTCTTAACCATTCCCGTAGCTTCTTAGGTCATTAATTCCCCTTGTATGTAGAACTATCTTACCAAACTAATATTTTATTGCTATTATTATTATTATTTTTTTTATCTCTATCTTTAGCCATTCTTGTTCCTTGGTTTATTGTTGCTTCTGAAGTGTTTTTTATTTTACTGCGCTCAGATGTTTGGTATTTTTCAGTTCGCGTTTATCATTAACGTGAATTGTAAGAGAGTGTTATCCATCCTTAGCTCTCGTCGCTTCTTTCTCTATCGATTATTATTTTATTGTTATCTTCACCAAACAAAAATATTTTATTCTCCTTCAAGTGAGTGGGAGGTACCTAAGAAATTCTTAAGTTGCCCTTTAGTGGATAAACGCCAGCGCCAATTTGTCACTGAAACGAAACAAATTGTTAGCACTGATCCATGCTAAAATTCATCGGCTTGCCTCGTTTCTTGTCACACTCAAGTTTTTCACCAGGGGAAGCGATGGTTTTTAGACGGAAGAAAGGACAATTTCAATCGAATTTGTTGGCAAGTCTCATTTGTCCGCCAGTGGAGAGGTCAAATGAAAGCACAGCTTGTAGAATTCATTGTGTCTCATAGAATAAAATGTTGCCGCAGTTAATCATTTTTATTACATCACGTCAACTCTTATAAGTGTAAAATTTACCGTCGGAAATCACTTGTTTTATTATAAAAAAAACATTGAAATACAGCTAAATTTACGCTTCTTTCCGCAACACGTATGTTACCTGAAATATGTAATTCTGACCTGGACGCTATTAATCTGTTCTTATGACAGCTAAATGAACGCTTGGCGCGTAGAAGAGCAGAGCGTGAAAAGAAAAAAGCCGAGGAGGAAGAGGCCAGAATAAAAGAAGAAGAAGAAGCGACCAGAAAGAAGGCTGAGGAAGAAGCAAAGAAGGCGGAAGAACCGAAACAGGCTCCAGCGGACTATCCATTACCGGTAAGAAGAGAACTATGAGTGACCATAATGGAAATTCTCCTTACAATATTAATGCGTTTTCAAGCAGAGAGGTGATAAGAAGAAAGAAAAAAAAAATCAAGTTGGGTGTACTGTTTGAATTTACAATTAATTCCCAGAGCAAAGAGTACAAGACATGTATGGTAGATAGTGCGGACAATTGATGTTTAGGTTAAGTCAAGGGGCTAACGTTTGTCGCAATCGTTGCGCATAGAGAAATCAGAGCCCATGGGTATATTACAGCGGTCAAACGAGGGTATGCACAAATGGATCGATTCTGGTCAGCCGCGTATCAAAATTTCCCGCGCAAAATTATCAAGGAAAACAGAAGAAAATGGGTTTAGCGTAAAATTTACGGACGACAAAGAAAAATAAAGATTTCATCATACTGAGATGTTACTGCTTCTTTTTTACGGGTGTTTTTGATTAGTTATTCGTCCATGTTTTGTTCCAATTAGGGCGGCTTTGCTATGAAGCGAGAAAAGACAGTGATAGACGTAGAAGTTTCCAAAGAGAAGCAACAAGAAATCCTATCATCTCTGTTACGTGAACACACCAATGTTGGAATGAAGTTTGAACGAGAGAGAACTCGTCAAGAGGAAATGGTATGTTTTAGTTCTAATCACCCGGACAATACAAAGGATTCTTAACGCGCTTTAAAAGCTATAACGCTATAAACGTCAGTAGAAAGAGCAAGAAACGCATTTGCTGTTGTGATGAAAACTAAATTTGGAGACGGGATGAAGGAAGTTCTGGCATTTTCAAGGCCTTAAAAGTCGTCAAATTTGGTTGTGAGTTGAGGGAAGTCATCAGGTCGGAGGAAAAGGATCTCTCTGCAAAACAAATAAAAGAAAGATGAGCCGTGATTGAAATACCTTTTTCAAATCATTTTGAAATCAGGCTTTTGGTCACAAGTCAAGGTTGATATCAAAAAGTGCACAAAGAATTATTAATAGTCGTAGTTCGTAAAAGTTCAAAGTGATCTCGGCAAATTTTACGTTTGACTTCACCAAGTTTCCTTTGTTTTCATTCAGCTGAAAGCCCGGAAAGAAAGGAAAAAGTCTCGAATTGAACGAAAACAGGAAGAGGTGGCGACCATTATGGGTCTGGGAGAGAGACAGAAGACATTTGTGGAGCAACAGAAGAAAGTAAGTTTTCTTTCATTCCTTTGTTTCTTTTTCATAAATGCCCTAATCCATCTTACCGTCGTCGCATTTTACCCGAATTTGTTGAGAGTTTTCGTTGTTATTGTTCCATTTACCCATATTTGCAACTTCTGTTTACTTACGTTTGCTATTTCCTTCCATAGGAAGAGCGCGAACGTCAAATTACCATGGTTCGCGAGCGAATCGCGCGTGTTCGCTATGAGCGCACGATGACAATGCGCGAACCCAAAGATGAGAAAGCACAAGGTTTTGAGAGTCTGTTAACAGAAGAAGAGAAAGAAGGATTGTCTGAGGAGGAGAAAATGAAACGGATCGCCGCAAAAATGGAGGAGAAATTCAAGAGTGAACAACGCCGTGTGTCAACCGTTTCAGCGGTGGGTTGCGTTAAATTAAAGAAATTGTGTTTTTTCTTTTTAAAGAAAGAAGGTTTTCTGTCTTCAAGTTTGAGTAAGTTTTGTGTTCGTGTTCCACGAACGTTCTGTATACCTTATCCAAAATGGTGGTATTTAACATGGAGACAAAGTGGTACTGTATTCTGCGCCATTTTAGAATAACATGCGAGACTGATATGAAAACCTCATTAGACTGAGTATTGGTCCAGAAGTGAAATATTCTGCATATGGACAACTTTCTATAAACACAAACAAAATGACACGATAGCTTACTAACAGTCTACTTTGATTGACAGCTGGCTCCTCCCAGCCAATCATTCAGCGCCAGCGCCAGCTCAGCCGAAACTTCGGAGGAGGAGGGTCCTCATACGGAACGTGCATCACAGCTCCTAGACGAAAAGAGCCGAAATAAAAAACTGAAGGAGCGTATGGCGTCACGCAAAAGAGAGCGACGCAGATCTGTCGCGCCAACCTCCGGAGAAGACGGTGGTGCTGTGGGTGGGGCTGACGAGTGATGGAGCATGATGTTAACCCACAGATCAGCCCCTGAGCTGGCAGGACCAGTGAAAACTTCCTATTTATTTCTGGTGTTATTTATTGAGTTGGTCTAGTTTTTTTAGTCGCAGTAGACAGGCTTTGGTCAGTCTTCTAGTTTTTATGTAAATAGGATTAATGTAGCAAACAAAAAATTAGGAAATTGTTTCGCTCAGTTTACATGCTTATTATCGTAACTTCCACGGTTAGCTAACGAAGGAAAAAAAAAACAATCATGTATTTTCCAGTACTTATTTTTCACATTTGGAAAGACTGCCGTTTGAAAAAGACTTTGCGCTGCGCGTAGTAGTATTATTGGTAGACCGATAGTCACAGTAGTTGTGATTTTTGCGTTAAAAAACAGTAATTAAAACGAACTATTTTTGATGTTATGTTTTTGTGGAACTTCAAAGCGTGGGTAGCTTGTATCCAGTAGTTAACGCGCTTCCAGTGTCAAGGGCGAGAAATCATGCAACCACGAACACGTTCATGAGTACATGAAGTCAGTGACAAGCGTGGGAAAATGCAATCATAGATGAAATTATTCAATCGAGCACAGGAGGAAATGTCAGCTGAGACAAGTGCGGTTGATAGTCGAAACATTTCTATATTTCAGGGGAAAAGCGATGATTAAATTAATTGGGTAAATCGTCAAAGTTAGCGACTATTCTTTCTTAAAAAAAAAAACTCAGTGCTCCAAGAACTCAGACCAAAATTTGCCAGGCCTCATCGCATCAAAGATTATCTAAGTGAAGACAAAACGAATCACCACATTAACTAGGATAACTTTTATTTAGACATTATCTCACGGATCTCTCGAGTTGAAACAAGTGTTTAGAGTCATTCATTTAGAGACTTCGTAAAAAAAAGTTCCTCTCAAGCTGTTTTTATGATCAGTCGGTCTGTAAGTCTAACCGAATTTTGACAAATAGTTAAACTTTCCCACTCCTTCCCTTTCGTCTTTGAAATGGTAAATGGTAGTGCAACACTATGCACTTACTCGTCCTCAGTTTACTCCAAAGGTGTGCGACACTAAAGAAGGAGAGGAGAGGGTGACGGTTTCCTCTTTCCCATTCCGCTCGCGCTCGCATCCTACCCGCGTCGATTGCTCCAATTTTGAAGACTGAGAACGAATCAGCCACGCAACTGTTCGTTAACTTTAGTGGCGTTGTTTTGCGAAGAAAACCTACGGATGAGAACATTTTTCGGGACAGTATTCCGATGGGAACTGAAACTGAAAACGGAACGTTTACATGAAGACTTGGTCCCCATCGATCGAAGGTTGGATAACGCTTTCTATTAGATAAATCTCTGTCCGGTGGACAGAGCATTAGGATTTGTCAACACAAATCTACCAGGTAGCAATTTATCCGTTGGATAGCGTCATCCCCTCTTTTTTTTTCTAACTTATGGCTTTCCCATTCACAGAACGTCCTGTTTCTCTCTTCCGTAATCTACCAGATCTTCTTAAGCGTACCGCGCTCTTAACAACGCCTCTCTTAAGGGTGAAAAACATAAGACCTTGTTTCTTTTTAGTTGGTCGACCACTTAAGTCCGTTATGGCTTGTGGAATTCATGCACGTGATCTGAGTAGCTGAGGCACGTAGCTCTTAACCGCGCCCTCGTTCGTGCTTCTTAAGTTTCAAGTCTTACAATTGGAGATAAGCATTGTAGACTTTGTCTCATGATTGACAGAAATTTTCGAGTTCCTTTCTCAGCCTTCCGTATCAAAGACCAGAATTTCCTATATGTCCCTGTCGTCCACGTCTTCCCTCGGGGATCTCCCCCGGGTTTGGTGCACTCTGACACATTCTCCTATCTACAGGACCACGAAGTTTATGTCTATGATGCTGAAGCCAGGGATGTTGTAAAACCTCCTCCAACGTGGGTCTGTACGATGGGTGCTTTGTTAGGAGACATCGTAGCATATCTTGTAGATCTGCACAAGATGAAATACTTATATGAACCTCGGGGGAAGATAACAAGCCTCTTCAAGCCATTCATATACTGAAAATATACCGAAAATCTCCGCTCTCTTAAAAAAGACCTTCTCTCACCCATAACCCCGAAACAAAAACATGGTGATAGTTTTGTTGTTATAAATTTGTTCAAGCCTTTTTTCGGGCCCTATTTTCACTACCGCTTGAGCAGTGATTATTCCTGCAAAGATCGCTTTCGTATTCATTTCTTATTCCGCAGTTCACATATATCATTTTTACATATTCACAGTCATTTATTCACCACTTCACAGGTTCGATACGAACCAGCATAATGACCAGCTCCCAGTTGGCTTGTTAGCTCAGTTGGTAGACCACTGCACCGGTATCACAGGGGTCATGGGTTCAAATCCCGTACGAGCCTGAAGCCATATTTTCACCACTGCTTAAGTAGTGTTCATTGCTGCGAAGATCGCTTTCATTTTCAGATTTGTTCTACTTAAACCTCTGCCCTCCCTTCAATACACCTTCCTCTATTTATACCCCCCTCTAGTGAGCTACCTTTTAGATGAGTTTCCTCTCTAATAAGCCTCACTCTGGTGATGCTCCCTCCGAAAAGTCCTCTCTCCAATAAGCCCCTTTTATTATAAGCCCCCTTTAATTCATCCTCTCTGAAAGGCCCTTTCTACTAAAACCTCTTACAAACCCCTTCAT